GAGCACAGAGAGCCAGGCACCGGGCTGCAGCTTTCCTAGCCTACAGAATGGGTAATGCTGAGTGCAGAGTGGGGTATGATTTGCATCCATCTGAGAGAAAAGCCACTTGTAACTCTTCCTGAGAAGGCAGAAGCCAAGCTTATATATGTCTGAGAGAGGTCCAGAGAGAAGTGTGCCTATGGGTAAACCTGAGAAGAGGCAATTGTGATCAGATAACTGTTGTCTCCGACAAGTTGTGACACTGTTCCCCAAAACCACTGCTGTCAAATCTATTCTGGTTCATAGTGACTGTGTTAATCCAGGTAAACTGGAGAAACTAATCCAGGGAGACTCATATATGTATAGGAAAGGGCTTTATATCAAAGAGTAATTGTATATTAAGAAAACATCCCAGCACAGGCCAGATCATGTTCATTAATCTGATATTAACATTCTGATACTAGTCCATAAGTTCTTTTTCAGACTCACACAGCACATGCAAGGATGCAGAATGCAGGAATACCACAGGCCTGTGGGTGGAAAGTTTTGTGGACCCAGTGGTGGTGGAAGCATCTCCAGAGCTTTGACTGCCACCAGCGTGGCTCCAAGTGGCTTGTCATCAGGATGTGAAGCAAAGACAGCATGTATCCCACCTCTAGGGAAGAAGATAGGATTTACAAGAATCCTCAGGAGAAAGCTATGATCTGTTTGAAGGCCTAGACTTCCCCCCTTGGCTCAAGTTGACAGGATATTATGTAACTGCCACAGTGACCCTACATACGGTTTCCATGGCTTTAAACCTTTACCATTGGAGAAATACTCATCATTCTTCTGAGGATTGCCTGGTGGCTTGGAATTGCTGGCCTGGTGGATAGCAGACCAATACTCAACCCATTACACCCTCTCTGCTCCTTTGTAAGGGGCTGGCTTGTTTCTCTACTAAACTTTGGAATTGTAAGTACTGTGTGAGTGCAGTGTGGTCATAGCTACAGATTATTGAGGGCTGCAGAGAGGAAGAGTGTCCTGAAGGGGACAGGAGCAGCAAGACTGCTGGTATCAGGATAGATTTGAGGAGGTCGGAGGATGGAGGCATGTCAAACTTCTGCTTCATTGGAAGTGGCATTGGGCGGATGGGTTTTGATCCTTTTTCCCCCTTGTGAAGTCAAGGAGGTCAGACACAGTCACCAGCCTTCCATGCAGTGGCAAGCTTGTAACCCCTGCCCGGAGAGCAGAGTTCCAAAGGAGGGGATTCTAGAGCTAAGGAGCCACCGTTATTCTCCAGCAGCTTTTGGTATTATTATTTACATTAGGCATATTGGTTAAGAGGGTTTTTTTTGCAGCTGTTTCTCTTTACCTGGAGTGGTTGCAAAAATGTCCTAATGATTGGAACTTGGGATGCGTGAAGCATGGATGTAGGAACATTGGAAGTGATTAAAAAGCAGACGGATGCATGAAGATCAATATCCTAGGTATTATTGAGCTGAAGTAGACTGGTATTGGCCATTTTGAATCCGAAAAACATATGATTTACTATCATGGCAATAACACAGTCAAGAGGACTGCCATGGCATTCATGGTCAGAAAGAGCATTGCAAGATCAGCCATGAAGTCCAATGCTGTTTGTGATAGGAGTATACCTATCGCCTTTAAGGAAATCCAATCAGTATAACTATCATTCTAATTTATGAACAAACCGCCAAAGGTAGTGATGAAAAAAATTTAAGAATTCTACCAATGACTTCAGTTGGAAATGGATTAGACATGCGTTCAAGATGAATTGATAGTTATGGGTGACTAGAATGCAACAATTGGAACCAAAGAGGAAGGAACAGTACCTGGACAATATGGACTTGGTGACTGAAATTAAGCTGCAGGTTGCCTCATAGAATTTTGCAAAATAAACGACTTGTTCATAGCAAATAACTTTTCTCAACAACACAAAAGGTGACGTGCACATACTCTTTCCAGAGAGAAAACACAGAAAGCACATTGACTACATGGGTGGGGAGACATGATGGAGAAGAAGCTCGGTATTGGCTCTTAAAGCCATACCAGGAGCCAGTTGTGGAACAGGTCATCAATTGCTCATAGGTAAGTTCAGGATAAAGCTGAAAAAAATGGAAAATAAGTCCACAAGAGTCAAAATAGAACCTTGAGTGCATCGCACCTGAACATCCCAAGAACGTATTTGACACACTGAACACTACTGACAGAAGACCTGAAGAGCTGTGGGAGGACATCAGGAGTATCATTCATGAACAAAACCCAGGTGATTAAAAAGACAGGAGAAAAAGAAAAGATCAATGTGGATGTCAGAAGAGACTCTGAAACTTGCTCTTAACTGTAGAGTAGCGAATGGAAGAAACAATGAAATCAAGGAGCTCAACATAAAATTTCAAGCAGCAGCTTGAGGAGATAAAGCCAAATATAATAATAAAAAGTATAAGGACCTAGATGTAGAAAACCAAAAAAGAAGAGCATCCTCAGCATGCCTGAAGCTGAAAGAACTCAGAAAAAATTCAAACCTCAAGTTGCAATCTTGAAGGATTCTATAGGTGAGATATTGAATGATTCAGGAAATATCAATAAAAGTTGGAAAAATATATACAGAATCGCTGTACCAAAAATAACTTGTAGACATTCCCCTACTTCAGGAGGTAGCATATAAGCAAGAACCTATGTTGCTGAAGGTCGAAGTTCAAACTGCACTGAAGGCAATAGTCAAAAACAAAGCTCCAGCAAATGATGGAATACCCAATGAGATGTTGCAGCAAGCTGAAGTAGGACTGCAGGTACTCACTCGTCTTAGCCAAGAATATTGAATGACAGCTACTTGGACAACTGAATGGAAGAGATCCATTTTTGTGCCCATTGCAAATAAAGATGGCCCAACACAATGCTCAAACTAAGAGCGATATCATCAATATCACATGCAAGTAAATGTTTGCTTAAGATCATACAGCAATACTTGCATCACTACATTGAGAGGGAACTGCTAGAAGCTCAGGCTGGATGCAGAAGAGAACTTGGAACCGGGATATCACTGCTGATGTCAGATGGATCTTGGCTCAAAGTAGAGAATATCAGAAAGACGTATACTTGTGTTTCATTGATGATACAAAGGAATTTGACTGTGTGGACCTGTGGACCACAATAAATTGTGGATGACTTTGAAAAAAAAGGAAATTTCAGTAATCTTCATTGTGCTCATGTGAACGTTGTATGTGGATCAAGAGGATGTTATGGGAACAGAACAAAGGAATACTGCCTGCTTTGAAATCAGGAAACGTGTGTGCCAGGGTGGTATCCTCTTACCATCCTTGTTCAATCTGCATGCTGACAAATCATCAGAGAAGCTGGATTATATGAAGAAGAATGTGGAATCAGAATAGGAGGAAGGCCTATAAACAACTTACTATATGCAGATGAAATGGCCTTGCTTACTCAAAATGAGAAGGAATTGAAGCCCTTGATGAAGATCAGGGATTATAGCCTTCTGAGTGCATTACAACTCATTGTAAAGAAGAAGAAAATCCTCACAGCTAGACCAATACATAACAACATGATCAATGTTGAAAAGGCTGTATTTGTCAAGGATTTTGTCTTACTTGGATCCACAATCAATGCTCATGGCAGCAGAAGTCAACATGTCAAAGATGTATTGTATTATGCAAATCTGCCGCATAAGACCTCTTCAGAGTATTGAGGAGCAAGGATGTTGCTTTGAGGACTGAGGAGTGCCTGACTCAAGTCATGGTAATCTCCACTGCAGCATAGGCCTGTGGATGTTGGATAGTGAATAAGGAAAACTGGAGAAGAATCAATTTGAATTGGCGTGCTGGAGAGGAATGTTGAAAGTACCACCAACTGCTAAAAGGACAAACCAATGTATACCTAGAAGAAGGCCAGAGTGCTCCTTAGAGGCAAAGATAGCAAGACTTCCCTTACATACTGTGGACGTGTTGTCAGGAGAGACCAGTCCCTAGAGAAGGGCATCATATTTGGTAAATTGGAAGGGGGTCCAAATGCAGATCGGTTGGCACAGTGGCTGCATCATGGGCCTGAGCACAGGAACAAGTGTGAGGATGGCATAGGACCCTGCAGTGTTTCTGTTGTGCATAGGTTCACTATGGGTCAGAATCAACTCGATGCCACCTCACATTTGTTGAGAGGAAAACTCTAAACTGTCTATTAAAAAATCACTATGTATTTTTTTAAAATTCACGTGAATGTGCACTTAGCAAAATTTTCGCAATATACTTTTTATTTGAAAATATACAATTGGCTACCTCATTGTTTATTTGTGTGTGCGTGTTTCTGTCTTTTACTTCCCACACTGAATTGTTGGCACATTCTCCCAAGCACGTTTAATTTTTCCTCACTCAGTGTCTGAACTCTCTTAGGAAGCAGTTGTCTCCAGGGACTGAAAAATTTCCCCCAAATCCTGAATAATGTAGAGCCACTCAGTCATTGGTCTCCCCCTCCCCTTTACAAAGTGTCTTTTTCGGAGACATTCAGAGCTAAAAAACTGGCTAAAAGCATTAGAGGGAATCCATACACACACACACACATGAAAAAAACTGGCTAAAAGCATTAGAGGGAATCCATACACACACACACACACACACACAAACACACACACACACACATATATATATGAAGATGGCTTCCTCGCAACCCCCCATACCCACCCACATCTTATCCCAGGTAACTCTCAAAGGGTGTTATTTCCCTTTTATGTTCCAATTCTTAAAATATATACATTTATTCTTTCTGGAATGTCTATAGGTATTTCCTTTCAGTCTTTCCGTTACTTCGCCATAATTACAATAAGCCCATACAGCGCACCAAGACGGGTTTACAGCAATGTGTGGGAGGGGCGTCGCCATTCCGTGGAGCTCAGCTCAACTCTCTGCGATCCCGTGCAGCACGTGAGCTCTGTCCTGCAGCCCACTAAGCCGCAGCAGCCTCCGAGAGCAGGTGGTCGGCCGTCACCAGGCCCCTGCGAGGTGCACGTGCAAGTTCAGCCCCGGGCACGGAGCAGGGACGCAGGGCTCCGGCGTCTGCAGAAGGGGAGCCCAGGGAAATGCAGCGGAGACACGGTGGGTGATCCACGGCGTAACCTTACTTCGGGCATTTTTAGCTCGATGTTCGGAACCGAGGCTTCCTGGCTGTCATCCGCTACCCTGGGGGCGGGGGTGGGGGGACACGGCTTGGGAGGAAGTCAGAGTGGGGCTGGTGGCCAAGGTAGGGGGCAGTAAGACCAGCCCGTGAGGGCTCCTCTAGGTCCCGAGGGGCTCCTCTCTATGATCTTGGGAAGAGAGTTCCTGTGCGGACGCCATCTTGACGTGCGTGCGCCTCAGTGCGTCGTCGTGGAGCCGGTTCGTGGACGGCTCTCGGCTTCCTGAAGAGCCCGCTCTGACCGACCCCAGCCCGGGCTCCAGCCCCCGTGCTCTTCAGGGGGACAGTGGGGACGTGACCTGGCTGACGCCACACCATGGGTGAGTGGGTCAGCCCAGGAATCGGGGAAATCTGGAACCCAACGTATCTTTCCTTTTGAAATCAGCAAATACTCACAGATGGGGGTGGGCAGGTGACTTTCCCCCGATGGGAAGGCTGGAGGCTGATTGACCCCGAGACCTCTATCGTAGTTCCAAGTGGCAAACTTAGCTTCTCTGTTACAACCGGCAGAGGTGAAATCGTCTTCCTGGTTGAAGAGAAAGGACTCAGTTAAGCGATTCAGGGTTTGTGGGGTGGGGAAGGTACCCCTGGCCGTGCGTGTTGAAATGTACGTCCTTGTGATTCACATCACAAGCTGGGAAGGGGCTCAGAACACGCCCTTACCCTTGAATCCTTACCCCAGCCATTCAAGATAGATTGCGTGACCCTATAGAAGTAAGGAAAGCCCTGTGGAAGCAAGGGATGGCCAGGGCCTCCTCCAGCCAAAGAGGTCAAAGTGGTTCTGGAAGCCACGGAAGCAGCTTGGGAGGAAGTCAGAGTGGGGCGGGTGGCAAAGGTAGGGGGCAGTAAGAACAGCCCGTGAAGGCTCCTCTATGATCTTGGGAAGAGAGTTCCTGTGGGTCAGCCCCAGAATCGGGGAACGCATCCTTGAGACCCCCAAATCCTGTCCGAGTGGGGTGGGCAGGTGACTTGTCAGTAGCATCAGGATGGGGCCGATGGGTACTGCAATGAAAACCTCTCTCTGTGAATCATCCTGGCTCCGGTGATGCCCTTCTCCTGGTTGAGGAGAAAGGCCTGAGTCAAGTGATTTCCAGCTTGGGCAGTGAGGAAGGTACCCATGGTTTTCCATGTGGGGAATTTACTGTCTTGGGATTTGTATTACACGTTGGCTGAGAGATAGTTCAGTTTTATAGGGGTGTTATAGGCTTGTTTGCAGTGCCTGGGAGTATGATCACCAACAAGTTCCAAACCCACAGGGGCGGTTCTACTGGGCTCTATCCGGTCCCTATGAATCAAAATGGACTCAGTGACAATGAGAGGCTTGTTTAATGGCCCAGCATATGACCTGCGAGGTGATATTCCATGTATGTCAGGGAAGCAAATTTATGGCTCACACTGGTTAAACCTTCTCCATCTAACAGAGTCGGCTCTGGGAGTTTTATCTGTCACTCAATGAAAAAGACCCCCATGATTGTATACATGCCAGTCCCTCCATTTGCTTGTTTTTATGCCAGTCCCTCCATTTGCTTCTGTTTTTGTTGGGCACATTTTGTTTTCTGTGTGCAGGCGGACAGAAAATTAGAGTATCTTGTCATTATTGTATTCATACAAAACGCAAAACTTTGATCATGATGAAATCATCTTTTTTGGAGTAATGAATCGCCTCAAACTATCTTTTTGCCGTTTTAATACAGTTATATCACTTGGTGTCTTGGGTTGCTTTAGGAGATTTCTCAGGTATGATCTCCTTAAGTACTCCTTTATCCCTGCTCTTTCCTTCTTGACTCTACTTGACCATGTGTGAGATGTATTCACTCTATCCCTCTAACTCTCCCCCCAATCCTTGATTATTCTCCATTATTTCATCTCTCCAAGTTTCATTTTGTCTATTTTCTTCATATCTATCTTGTATTCCTCAAAGTCTGCATTCAAAGCATGCAAATTGCCTGGCAGCCTTGAACTCTAACAAACATTTAGGGAACATATTTTTACTCCTCCAGAAGAAAAGAGGGAGGTCAGGGTAAGAGATGTTATGCAATTATCTGAGGCCACCCAGACAGGGATCAGATGAGTAGGAAGGGCTAAAGCACCATGGGCCCTCTGCTCACACCTTTTCCTCTGTTCTTGCTCTCCCTTTGGCTAAAATCACTGACTATCTCTCAGATCCCCTAAAGTGGAACCACAGAGGAATGTTTCACCCGTGGTACCACAGGGGTATATTTCTGTTTACATTATAAGCATCAATGGTGTTTCTTTACCATCCTTGCTCCACCCCCACACACCTGGACTTTTTCTGGCATTACCATGATTGATATGTTGTTTCCAATTTCAGGGGACAATCGCATAGTTCTTCCACGATCAGCAAGATCCAGGTGTATTCCCAGAAGCAGAGTTCCCATCTACTCTGAGCAAGCCATTCCTAGCATTAATCAGTTACCCCGCCAGGAGCAAGGTGACCACATGGCAAGGAGGCATGCTTGGATCAGGTCTGGAGTACGATAGTAAGTGACACGGTGGCATGCATGTCCCAGTGTAATATGTGACACTAGATTTCTTTTTTTTTAATCGTTTTATTAGGGCCTCACACAACTCTTTTCACAATCCATACATACATCAATTGTGTAAAGCACATTTGTACATTCATTGCCTTCATCATTCTTAAAACATTTGCTCTCCACTTAAACCCCTGGCATCAGGTCCCCATTTTTCCCCTCGCTCCCCACACTCCTCTCCCTCATGAACCCTTGATAATTTATAAATTACTATTTTGTCATATCTTGCCCTGTCCAACATCTCCCTTCACGGACTTTTCTGTTGGCCTTCCCCCAGGGAGGAGGTCACATGTAGATCCTTGTAATCGGTCCCCCCTTTCCAACCCACCCTCCCTCCACACTCCCAGTATCACCACTCATACCACTGGTCCTGAAGGGATCATCTGCCCTGGATTCCCTGTGTTTCCAGTTCCTATCTGTACCAGTGTACGTCCTCAGGTGTAGCCAGACTTGCAAGGTAGAATTCGGATCATGATAGTGTGTGTGTGTGTGTGTGGGGGGGAGCATTTAGGAACTAGAGGAAAGTTGTATTTTTCATCATTGCTACATCGCACCCTGACTGGCTCATCTCCTCCCCGAGACCCCTCTGCAAGGGGATCTCCAGTGGCCTACAAATGGGCTTAGGGTCTCCACTCCGTACTACCCCACTCATTCACTATGGTAAGATTTTTTGTTCTGATGATGCCTGATACCTGATCCCTTCGACACCTCGTGATCGTACAGGATGGGTGACATGAGATTTCATGTTGTCATTCCTCTTCTACCCTACACCCTGGTAGGCTGAAGAATGCTACGGAAAGATTAACGGTTGAGCAAACGTTATTGTAACCTCTTATCTCTCCATATCACCACAGCACCCCCTATCACATCCCATCTTACAAGCAGAGAGACACATATCATAAAGGACACCAAACGCATGGCAGTATGGAGAGAGAGAGAAAAGATCCGGAGGCAGGAATGGCGGGGAACAGGCAGGATGGAAGCACTGGGAGCTTCTCCAAGATCACAGTGAGTATCCTGGCAAAACTGACGTAATGTGCAAAGGAAACAGGGTGGGTGGACTTGTGCTGGTTCAGTGGTTCTCAACCTTCCTAATGCCGCTCACCTTTAATACAGCTCCTCGTGTTGGGGTGACCCCCAACCATAAAATTATTTTCGTTGCTACTTCATAACTGTAATTTTGCTACTGTTATGAGTTGTCATGTAAATATCTGATATGCAGGATGTATCTTCATTATTAAAAATTGAACATAATTAAAGCATAGTGATTAATCAAAAACAATCTGTAATTATAGATTGTGAAATATTTATTTCTCATTACAAATAAATGAAATTTCATCTGGAAGCTTGGTGTAGCATGGGTAACAGTCTTAATTTAACACAGCACACTACATTGCTACAGTTTGCCACATTATGCATAAAAAGCCAACATCGGTGCAAAGGTTGAGATAGTTTCTTTCTTACCAGATCAAAAGTTCTTGGGGCAGTCTTTGCAAGAGCACAATGAAGATCAACTTCACAAGTCTATTTCTGTATTTAGATTTTATTACCAACAAGCTGGAAAACCTTGTTTCACAAAGATAGTTGTTGGAAATGGAAGAAGAAGGTCCAACACAGTATCAGACAGAACACGATATGACTGCAAATGGTTGCCCCAGAATTTTGTAACTGGCATTGTAGAGAAATCACTTCTCGCTGCATCACTGTTAATAAGTTCAATGAGCTCCTCTTGTGCTGTCTCAGGCACATCTTCAACTCTGACTGTGAATGTGCTTCTGGCAAGTGCAAGTGGGGTGTCAAGTAGATTTGGAAAGTATGATGAAATTTCATCTGTAAGCATGTGCAAGTATTATTTCACAGAAATTTACCATTGTATTTTTTTGTCTGGTTCAATGTCATGTTCCTCAAAAAAAGCAGATAAGGTAGGAAACATGTAAATTTTACTTTCATCCAATTTCTTTTTGCAAAAGATGAAGTTTCGTTTGGAATGATCGGATCTTTTCAGAAAAATCGAGGCATGTTGCATTTGATCCTTGCAATGATAAATTTAACTCATTCAAGATGGCAAAGATGGCAACTAAGTAAGCTAGTTTCTGTAGTTCACTTTTATCGCTGAAAAGTGCTTCAAACTGCGGTCTTGATTTCTGGATAATAAATGTTTTGAGTTCATCACGAAGCTCAAAAACACGTTTTAAAACTTTCCCTCTCTACGACCATCTCACTTCAGTGTGAAATAGCAGACCGTTTTTCAGAGCATCGAACTCATTGCACAGTTGTGAAAACAGCCGGCTGTTTAAAGTGCTCGCCTTTACAAAATTGACAGAACTTTGATGCTTTTCATTACTTCTTGTAACCTTGTGGCAGCATCTTCATTGTTAATATTTGCCGATGAATCATACAATGAGTTCCGATAACTTTTGGTGACTCATTCAATAACAAACATTGAAATCCAGATCGACACCTAGCATAGCTGGAGCACCATCTGTGCAAACATCACAAACCTTTTCCCAAGAGATCTTATGCTCTTTCGGTAATAAATCAACTGTGTCAAATACATCACATGAAGTAGTTGTCGTTTCAAGAGGTTTGGAAAAAAAGAAACTCGTCTTTAAAATCTCCATCATTAATAAACCTCACATAAACCAGTAACTGTGAATAGTTTGCAACATCTGTAGATTCATCAAGGTGGATGGTAAATATTGGAAGTAAAGCAGATTCAATTTCCTGGATTACCTGATCAAGAATATCAGCAGACATGTCATGTATTCTTCTATGGACAGTATCATTAGATAAGGAAATTGCACTCAATTTTGTAACAAATTGGTCTATGATCATAACTCGAAAAACGTCTTTGGCCACTGGCAACAATAAATCCTCAGCAATGGTGTGAGGTTTCATAGCTTTGGCGATTCTGAGTGCCACCAAATATGAAGCTTCAATGGCTGCTACATTTTGTATGTGGTACTTGCCACCAATGTCAAGTCTGGCTTTCTTGAGTCAATTAGCTTTGCTTCTAAAGTAGTTGGTATCCTTGCCTGCAAAACTCGAATGTTTACTATCAAAATGGCATTTTAGTTTGTTCCACTTCCTAGATTCAGCTGATAGAACTTCACAACAAATAACACATTGCAGTTTCTCAATTCCTGCTGTAATTATTGAGGTAAAACCACAGTGTAAAAAACCCTCACTATATTTTCTTTTCTTAAGATTCCTCTCTACACAATCCATTGTCATGGGATGGTTTGCTAATGAAAATAATATATAAAGATAGCTTTAGTAATATAAAAGATGATAGTTCAGTCAATACAGTTCATTAAAATTTCCTATGATTTACCATTGTTTTGTTTTTTTACATGCCTGTTACTATCATAAGGGGGCAGTATTCACATCAACCACAGCTGAATATTAAAAGAACGATCAGCAACCCAACTAAGTTCCCATGGTACAGAT